CACATTTATGACAATATTTAATATCCACTGGTTTATAAGGTGATTCAAGAGGAAGATCTTTCAATTCTTCATCATAAAAACATGTTTCTGTCTGCAGTAAAAGAACACAAACCAGCCTGTAGAGGAAGTGCCCGCTGGCCGCGTGGAGCCCACTCAGGAGCTCCACTGCCGTGGGAAGAAAAACACAGAACAGAGGGAGTTGTTTACCTTACAATCCTTGAAGAACATCTCTGAACTTAATCAATGCATCATCATCATCATCATCATCATCACCGGTGTCCTCTCCATGAACGTCCCTCCATCACAGACCAACACCGGCTTAGTGGAAACAAACCCCTTTCTCTCTCTATCTGTCTGTCTGTCCGGACAGCAGCAGTAACGTTACCTCCGCCTCACTTCCGCATACCTGCAGCCAGGTAACTGCAGTGGCGCGGCGCGTGCCAGGTGTGCACAGGTGTGCCGGTTGTTGTTTTTTGTTTTTTTTAAGCGAAGGAAGCGGTGACGTCCCTTTAAAGAGAAGGCGGGACGTTGAAGTCACGTTCAGTGTTTTGAGAAGAAGATCGAAACCTTTTTAGGAAAGACCGGAGAGTTTGGAGAAAGTAGAATCGTCATCATACGTCACTGAAGCTGATGAACCGGTTTACTGTTTCAATTGAGCTGTTTCAATTTCATATCTGAAAATGTTTACACCACATAATGATTTTTATCAGCAAGAATAAACACCTTGATATTCAGCCTATTCTATAATCTATGGGGCGCCAAATGTAAAAAAAGAAAAAAATTCACTGTCATATTTCTGTGAAAGTGGCAGCTGGCCAATAGAGGGCGCTAGGGCGCCGCCCCACCCACTCAATGACCCTAATTAAGATATAAAAAAGAAAAAATATCATTACATTTTTTTAAATTGACATTTAAAATATTTTTACATATATTAATATGTATTTCTTAGATGTGCAAGATACATATTTAATCTTGAATGGCTAGTAAAGGTTCATTAAATTTTTCGTCGGATTGGTGACGTAATTCTGCCCTAGGTTGCAAAAATCTTTGCCCATTGACTCTTGTTAACAGTTGTACATGCAAAAGTGTGCAGGTGGCACAGTGCTTAACACACACAACCCATGTATGGAGGTCTTAGTCCTCGACGCAGCTGACCTGGGTTCAAATCCGACCTGTGGTCCTTGGCCACATGCCTCACCTCTCTCCCATACCTTCTTTCCTGTTAGTCTACTGTTAAAAAAAACGTGCCATTAGTGCTGTGAAAACTAAAAAAAAAACTAAAAAAAAAGAAATGTGCAGTAGCTCCTCTGCAAAAGAAATGTATAGTAGAGCTTGGGGTGCAGCTCTGATGTTCTGACAGGAAGTGTATTTTGCTCATCACCTCTTTATTCTCGTAATGTTACTACTGTATTCTCAAAATAAAAAAATCTCTAGCCTGGCCCTAATACTCCATCGTAGTTTTACCAGCATACTTTTTTTTTATATTATTATTATTAGCATCCAGTGAAGACAGCAAAGTTAGAATTTAATTTTAGAGAGAGACGTGTTTCTTTACTGTGCATATGGCAACAAAAGCTTTGAGTTGGGTGCTAATTAGTTACATTTACTCATTTATATTTACTTGTAACATTTTAGGGGGAAAATATTTTCATGAGTAGTTTAACTGGACTGTACTTCTCACTTATACCAAAGTATATGGTTAGTGGTGGCCAGGTGGCTAGGGAATTGCACTTGGAATCCTGAGGTTGTGAGTTTGAAACCCACTCTCACAGACTGCTATTCTGGGTCTCTGAGCAAAGACCCTTAACCCCCGATTGATCCCCGGGCAGCCCACTGCTCCTCAAGGGGATGGGTTAAATGCAGAGAGTTTATCTCTCCTTTGTGAGATCAATAAAGTTCATCTTTTTATGTTCTTCTGAAATACTATAATTCCTACTTGGTACAGTGAGTCTTTCTGCATGGAGTTTGCATGTTCTCCCTGTGCATGCATGGGTTCTCTCCAGGTACTCCGGCTTCCTCCCTTAGTCCAAAAATATTACTTTTAGGTTTAATTGGATTCCCTAAATTGTCCTTAGGTGTGTGTGTGGGTGTGTGTGTGTGTTTGTGCATGGTCGTATGTCTCTGTGTGTCTCTGTGTTGCCCTGTGACAGAGCAGCAACCTGTCCAGGGTGACTTACCTCTTGATCATAGATGGCTGGAGATTCTGGCTCCACTTTGAGCCTGATGAATTCGTTTAATAAGGTTTTTGTTAATAAAAAATAGTATTTGGATGGGTTTCTTCATGTCTGAATTGGCTATGTTGTAATCATGTTGTTTATTGAACATTTTTAACATGCTTTAGCCTTTAAAATACCAGATCTTGTCCGTACTTCTGTCTGACTAAACATTAGATCACATGTTATGACCCTGCAATTATTTAGCATTTAAGAACATGAGTGGATTTCAGAAATTTGAGGCGTAAAGCGAAGGCAGCCTCTGAGATTAGTAAACAATAAATAAAACAACAAGGCAATCATAAAGATACAGACATTTTAACAGAATACACATGTATTATGTGTTTTACCTTTTTTAATTCTATAAATCTACACATTCCTCTGAAAAGGTCAGCAGATTTAAGTATAGATGAAAGCTTGAGGATCTGCATCAGGGATTTTCTCTCCCACCGCCATCAGAGGGTCAGTGCTAAAGACTTCCAGTGTGGAGAGCTCATCATAAACACCAACTCCCAACAGGTCAGCTTTCCTGCTTTGGTCGGGCTGCTTCAGAAACAGCCTCCTCTGGTGAGGCCTCCTTCTTTGAAAATGGGGGGCACAACAGATCACATGTCAAATTCGAACCCGGGGACTAAGGTCTCCGTATATGTGTGGTAAGCGCTAACCACTGCTACATCAAAACACTCCCACTGAAATATATACTTTTATTAAGCCACAGTGCAAAAATGATCTAAAAATTAGTAAAAATGTCTTCAATTAAGTGTATTTAGCCTTAATTAGAGCAGGTAAATAAGGTAATCTGCTAATGAAATTAGCATTTTTACTCTTAAAACAAGTAAACAGCTTGTTTTTTCTTATTTTAAATGTAAATTGCCTCATTCAATTGGAAAAGTGTATCACTTAACTGCTTAATTCAAGAAAAAAAATGCTACTTTTTAAAGAAAAATTAAGTTACTTAGATTTCAATGATTTGCAGTGTGAAGCAGGTCTTTCTACCCTTTTATTGTCTTACTTCAGCAAACCTGCCTGCAGTGAACAACAAACCCACTACTCTGTCCTTTGTCAGTCTGGGTTGATCTTCTGATGCCTGTTGCTCTGAGGTTGGACATCCAAAAATAGTATTTTGCATATCTTGGTATAAAATGTGTATTCCTGATCCACTGTGAGCCAAATCCTCTCCCTCATAACAACAGAAGATGTTTATGGACACAGCTGCTGCTGTTTGGTTTAACCAGCAATTCAAAACGTGCTTCTAACAAAGTACATTTTAATTTTCTTAATCATAAAACAGCCTCTTTATATTTAAAAGGAAACTAATATTTATTAACATATGATTGAAGGCCCCTTGTCAATAAGCGAAGCTACTATCAGAACACAGCAGGCTGGATGCCTTCATCCAGACCATTGAGGCCTGATGAAAGCCTTGCTGTATGAAACAAATGTCTCACTTGAAAATGAAACTCCTTTCGGTTCATGTTTACAGAGAGCAGACCCTGAACTATCAGGAGCAGATAAAGCCTCTACTTTTATAGCTTCTATAATAAATTCAGCAAATGTTGCGATAAAAGGGAAGTTACATCGGGCCGCGATTAGATATGCAAACGCCACAGAAACACTGACACATTCTGGGACATAGAGCTGCTTTCATTAGGGAGGAAACTTTGCACACATTGACTCTAACACTCCTCTTCAGCTTATAGATCCAGCTACTTTATTATTGGAACCCCTAAAAGGCCATTTAGGGTGTTTTGATATTGGCAGTTACTATGGTAACACAGTGGCGACCTAGTGGTTAGGGCATAGAGCCCCACTCCCACAGACTGCCACTCTGGGTCTCTGAGCAAAACCCTTAACCCCTAATTGCTCTCTGGGCGCCCCATGATGGCAGCCCATTGCTCCCCAAGGGGAGGGGTTGAATGCAGAGGGAAATTTCTCCCTTTTGGGATCAATAAAGTTCAATTATTATTATTCAGTAGTGAGTCACTGTAAACAGGCATGAGGAAAAGCTTCCTTCCTTCATTGCTGTTCTCAAAACATTTTGAAGGCAGATTGAGTTCAAGCTTTTGCCCCTGAAACTGTAAAAACTGCTAAAAATCACATCCTGGATCCCGATGAATGTAACATTCCAGACGAAACATTAGATGGTGGAATGTGTTCAAAAAATAAATCAATTTCAAATTAATTATAAACTTTTATGGTCTGGATTTGGAATCAAACTCCAAAAAAAAAGAAGTTATCTGTGAAACCCTATCTCTATACTTATGCTGCTAAAGGCTTAGTTTGGTGGAGGACAAAGGGACCACTTTCCTCTCTGTTTCATTCGATCTTTACTTTCCAATGTTGCATTATTTTCATTTGTCATATTACTTGGGTAATATTTTGACAAAAACTTAGTTTTACTTGACTAATATCTTAATAAAATATTGTTGCTCTTAATGGAGTAAAACGTTTGTCTACTCCATCCATCATGACTAATTTCACTGAACAACAGACTTACAAACTAAAAACATTGTTTTTAATGATCAACACAAACAACAAACCTCCTAAAAAGCAGTGGAAACTTTTACGGCTGTTCAGTTTTCAACAAACAGAAAACATGGAAATTTCCTGTAATGCTCAGAGAAAAGACGGAATCCTGAACACACGCAACATTGATACCGATCAACGCTTCAGAATCAGGAACATTTCTGCCCCTTAATCCCAAAAATAACAGACTGGAGAGCCCTCAAAAATACAAATAATTAAATAACTCTATATTTTGTTAGAATAATAATGTTCTTATGTTTTTTTTATAATAAATTCTTTTATTATTCAATGATGCCTTTTACAATTTGAAGGTATATTTAATGTTTGAATCAAATGTTAGATAAATAAAGGCATATTCTTGCATCGCATACTTTAAAAAAAAAAAAAAAAAGGCTCCTAAAACATCCTTTAGTCAATTATTAATTTCTGGTTTCTTTTATTGTTCTCAGGGACATGAAGCCCGAAACACAAAACTAAACATGATAGAAAAAAGGAAGACATAAAACAGTTACAGAGAATAAAAACAGATTCATTATTCCATCTGCTGCAAACGTCCACCAGTCTCTGTAATGTCCGGACTCATTTTCGCCGGTCCTCTCACAGACCACCCAGAGGGCCGAAAACTGGATCTGATAAGCATGAAATTTGTAAAACTCCTAAAAAAAATCTGAATTAAAAAAAAAAAAAAAAACGCGGGAAGATCAGGAAACAAGCAAACATGTAAAAACTGTTTCAACTTTTTAAACATGTTATGATTCTAAACCTTTTTAGATTGAGACGCTTCATTTTTGCAGCATGTTCTTTGCTTTAATAATAATGGAACAAATTTCTCTCCATATGAACTGGGGTTGAATTAGAGGCTGAAAACGAACCATCAGGTTTCAGAGAGATTAACCTGATTTATAAAAAATAAACAGATTCTGGCTGACGGACGGTTTATTGATTGATGTTTGGGTGGTTGGATCTTCTCGGAGCTCAGTCCTTGCTCTCTTCAGAACTCCTCCTGTAGTTCTTGGCCTTGGGCTTCCTGAAGGACGTAAAAGTGACGCTGGGCTCCTCTATCTTCTCCTCTTGTGGAGCCTCAGGTCCAGCAGTAGTTTCCTCCTTGTTCTTCTCTCCTGGTCTGGTCTTCCCTCTGCTTTGTTCTCCGCCCTCCGCTCTCTCCCTGCCTTCATCATCCTCCTCCTCCTCGGCCAGGTGACTTAGCTGGAGCTCCTTCTCCTTTCCCTGAAGCTCTGATGACGCCTGCTCAGCGGTCTGCTCCTTGGGGAGCCGCTTCGGTCTGGAGAAGATCAACCTTCCCCGGATGTCACAGGGAGGATCAGCTTTAGTCTCCTGCTGCAGACCAGACAGGAACTGCTGTGCGGCTTTGCGGTTCTCCTGGTCGCTGCTCTCGGCCACGTCTTCCAGGCTGTAGCGCGTCCAGCGCTCGGGATGCACCAGGTAGTCTGGGACGCCTCTCTTCTTCACTGGTACAGGGGAAGTAGAAGCAGGGTGACTTGTCTTCCTGCTTTCTGCCGGGTTCAGCGAAGATTTGGAGCTCTTCTCCACGCTGTCCAGGCAGTCGAAGATGCTGCGGCTGCGGTAGGAGAAGGCTGAGCCCCCTCCGCTCAGGATGAAGGCGCTCTGCACCGCAGGAGCAGCTGAATCCTTCCCCTCCTCGTCATCGTCGCTGGCATCCAGCTCTGGGTCGAAGGGAGCGTCTCCTGGGGCTTCTTCAGGCTCAGATTCGTCGCTGGCTGAAAGCTCCAACACATCGTTGCTGTATGATGGATCCTCTGGGTCTCTGGAGCTTCTGTCGGACATCTTCACTGCGTCACCGAGGCCCGACTAAAGAAGAAACCTGATGAAGGACAGAGGAGGACATTCAACGAATAAAAACAGAAGGATAAAAACACATCAAAACTTAGACAATGTTTATTTGAATTTTGCTGTTTACACACAGAAAAGAGGGTTATTAAAAATCCAATTTCTATTCCATCAATCAGGGCCTCACCTGCAGGCAGAACTTTTGCCTGTTCTGCCAGAGAGCAATAAACCACAGACTGATGCTAACTGCTAATGCCTAATCCACATGGTCATGTTTAGCTGCCCTACAGCCGGAACCTCAGCTGCTCCTTTGTATCTTTCCTTGTTGGACAGACTGATCAATCCAGGCTTGAGCAACTATAGTAACCATGATGTCAATAATAATTAGAAATCTCCTGTCCAGGATTGATGCTGAGAAACTAGTCCATGCATTTATTACTTCAAGGCTGGACTATTGTAATTCTTTACTATCAGTAAGTCCACAAACTGTAGTTAAAAGCCTTCAGCTGATCCAAAATGCTGCAGCCAGAGTTCTGATAAAAATGAAAAAGAGAGATCATATCTCTCCTATCCTGGCTTCTCTTCATTGGCTTCCTGTTAAATCCGAATAGAATTTAAAATCCTCCTTCTCACATATAAAGCCTTAAATGGCCAAGCTCCATCTTATATCAGAGATCGGATTGTTTCTTATGTTCCTAACAGAGCACTTCGCTCTCAATCTGCAGGTTTACTAGTGGTTCCTAGAACTTCTAAAAATAGAATGGGAGGCAGATCTTTTAGTTATCAGGCTCCTCTCCTGTGGAACCAACTACCAGTTTTAGTCCGTGAGGCAGACACCCTGTCTACTTTTAAGGCTAGGCTTTAAACTTTCCTTTTTGATCAAGCTTATAGTTAGAGTGGCTCAGGTTATCCTGAGCTATCTCTGTAGTTATGCTGCTATAGGCTTAGACTTCTGGAGGACATAGGGACCACTATTTCATCATTTTCTCTCTTTTCATCCACTCTGTTAAATCTCTAACGTTCTACTCTCTCTGCTTTTTCTCATAGTAGCTTCATCTGGTCTGTTCCTGTTTGGCTGTGACTCCATCCTGGAGAGAAATATCATCTGTGCTGCTTCCATCAACACCTTTGTTTATAGATGTTGGAGATCGGCCTGTTTTTCAGTGTAGTCTTGTTTCTCTGACTGTGAATGGCTGGATGTGCTCTCTTCATCCTCTGACATGGGAGCTGGCTCGGTGCTCGTCTGCCTGGCTGGATGATTCCTGTTGCTTTTTCTATCTCTGCTTCTGTCTCCTTGAACCCCAGTCGGTCTCAGCAGATGGCTGCTCAAACTGAGCCTGGTTCTACTGGAGGTTTCTTCCTGTTCAAAGGGAGTTTTCCTCTCCACTGTCACACCAAGCATGCTTAGTGTGAGGGATTGTATTCAAGTCAATGAGTCGATGCAATGAACTGGTTTTCCTTAGATAGAAAACTTTGAATCAATTTGACTGGATGATCCGGTGAACTGTAAGGTGCCTTGAGATGACATGTATTGTGAATTGGCGCTATAGAAATAAACTGAATTTAAAATGGCAAGACAACTGGAAAGAATAATTTTGTCCAGTAATGAAAGACAAAGGAGCTGCTGATGTTCAGGAAGTAGTGGAGCTGAGCATAAAGCCCATCTGAATTAAAAAGAGTCCAGATTAACTCTCTGGTTATGTTGTTTCCTTGATTAAGCTTGAATTCATAGACAGGTTCAGAAGGAATATGTTTGCAAAACAGCTTTATAATACCGGTATATATATGAAAGACAAAATTATTTAGTTGATTAACTTAAATTTATTTAAAATTATTTAATAGAATATATCTAATAATATATTTAAAGGTATAGAGGACCATCTTTTATTTCCGGGTGGATCATCTAAATAAGTGGTCCTCCTAATTGTCAATCATTCTGGTGATAATTTTACGTAAGGCTAACCCCAGCTAGCTATACATTTCCTCCGTCCGCGCACTTTCAGGTGTAGATGTGTGGTGAGCTATATTCTCACTGTGGTTCGTTGAAAATGAACGAGAGTCGGAAGAGAAAAAGTCTTTACGAAGTGTATGAGGAGAACAGCAAGGCCTCAGATGAGAGAAACGACACCAGAGTGTTTTTGGGAGATTCTTTCACGCGATGGCGTTCAGTGAAAGCACAGGTCGGCCTTCCACTGATGCCTCAGTTAGGAAGTTTCTACAAAAGGTAAAGTTTGGGAATTAGGAGAAATCCATTTCACATCACTGCAGGTATAAGTTATCTAACACTATATTGTAACTTTCCAGGGAAGAAAAGTTTATTTATTTTGTAATTTGCATCATTAGTAGTTATACAGTGGCCACAGGTCTTTATTTACCCTTCAAACATGTCCTAATTCCCACTGCAGCACACATACACAAACATGTCATGCTTTTCTCTTTTTCAATGCACCAGTAGTCTTATTTGCGGGGAAACTTTTTACATATAAATATGGGTGAGATGAGATCCATCCGAGCGACTGTCTAATGCATACACGTGTGTAATAGCCGTTCCTTCTCAGGGGTGGGTTAGGCAACCCTGTAACTGCTCCTAAGAGGGAACGCTTATTAAACGCGTGTGTGAGCGTGCACGAGCCCATTTCTCCTCGTGCTGCTCTGTTTCAAAGTTGTTGTTCTCATTGCTCATACAAGTTTACTGTGTCCAAACGTCCGCCCTAACCCCTAAATCCCTCCATCACTATATAGAGCGGGGACTATATAGTGAACTCAGTTAACCGACCATTCAGACAGATGATCCCTGCTTTTTGCTCCTCGCTGGTCACTTAACTCCTCCTCCACTGCATGATGCCTGTGCCATCTTTGCTGCTGTCAGGTAGCTACATCCTGAGGCGACAGTGGGCCGCTGTGGCAGCAAATCCCATAATGCTTTGTGAGGAGAGCTCTCAAAGCATTCTGGGATATATCTGCCTCTTCGGAGTCCTTTCTTATCTTCTCATACACTTCATAGACACTTTTTTCCTTACCACCCTCGGCCGTTTTCAAAGAACCATGGTGAAAAAGGTGAGCTTCAATGACCGTCTAAAACCGTAGCTCACCACAGATATACACCTGAAAGTGTGCAGAAAAATATAGCGAACGGGACGAACACGAACATATCAGCAGAAGGATTGACAGTTAGGAGTACCACTTATTAAGATGATCCACCCAGAAAAAGAAAATTCTCCACTATACCTTTAGCACTTAATGTATAAAATAGATAAATGTTGCATTCATTCACTTCATTCTAATCACTTCTATTTGTTCCCTGATATATTTTGGCCCTACATACATCTCAGGGATCACATCACAATGATAAATATGAAAGCCATCTTCCAACCCAATCAGCATCTCGTGGCCCTTGTGGGTTCGAGACCCCTACTTTAGGAAACTCTGCTTCCATAAGCTAAAGCTGGGGTCTTGGATTTTTTCATCTTAGTTCTATAATAAAAGTAATTATAAATAACTTCATTCTAAGGCTGTTTTAATCTGTATAAAATCCCTCTAGTCACAGGATTTAAATGGTTATAAAGGATTAAAATCAAGCATAAACACTGAAGGAAAAGCCTCCATACTTGCTTGGATCTCCTGTAGTGGGGTCTATATTCATCTTGGCGGCTTTAGATTTCCTATAACCCTCTGCCACCTGCAGCTGCTTAATGATGAACCTGAGATAAAAACAAAAACATTCATTTAAATTATTTACATCCTGCAGAGATAGCAGGTTACAGAACAACAACACATCTAATTCGAGTTTTAAGGTGTTGTTTCTTTTCTTATTAATCCACAAGTAAGTTATCTTTACAAAGCATTGAGGTGCAGAGGGGAAATGTTGATTAAACTGATGCGAAAAGCCTGACCTGTAAACAGGTTCGTTTTTACAGCATTGTGAAATGTTTTACGGCAGCAGCATGCGATCCATTGGCCGAAGATGTTTAGCGGCTCTAATATCTAACAAAAACCCTCCTACATGGAGCCTCTAGACTGGACCAACAACATACCCGAACACTGTAAATCAATGTAATTCATTGTGAGGACATAAACCTAGAAAACAGCAGCTAGCTTACTAGCACTAGCTAATTCAGCCTCGTGCCCCCGCCGTTTGGATCCGCAGCATCCAAAGCTCGGGTCTAAATGACTCCGAAGCTTCACTGTAATGTTTTACCTTAAGGATAGTTCTGTATCATGGACAACTTTTACATCACGCTGCATCAAAGTCAGACCGGGAAGGAAAACAGCTCAACCGGAAACACACGGTCTCTGCGTCTTCCCGGCTGACTACACACCACCTGGCGCACCACTGCCTCCCCCTGGAGGGGAAGGAGAACTACAATACTAAGCAGGCGTTATGCCCAAAAGTGCATGCCTGCCGAAATATGCATCTCCAGTCTGTTGAACTGCATATCGACGAGAAAAACGGATTAAAATATGTTTAATGGAGCTTAGGTTCTTATATGAATAATATAAGAAAAAAAAGTTGTGGTTATTTGGCAGATTCATTTACAAAAGTACGGATTTTTTGAACAACATTAAATCCAAAGATTTTGACAATGGTACGGCTGATTTATTTGTTGTGGTCTCTTGTTATTTACACACAACACTAAACCGTGATAGCCAACGTGAGTTTTGAGTTTGCAAAGCTTTCTCTTA